TTTCCAGGGTTTTCTAGTAGAGAATGCTCAGAGGTGGTATACAATTCCCTTCTTCTGAGAGTACTCTGGAACTGTAGAGGTTGCCTAAGGCTACATAGGCTGGGTTTTCTCCTTTGAGGCACAGTGGAGACTCAAACTCTTAACCTCAAGTTCCTCAGTCAAATATCTTAAGTAGATTTATATTTGCATCCCTCTCATGTTTATTTCCATCTCTGGAATATGATATATGATTGTGTAGACAAGCAGAAGCTGGTTCCTGTAATTCACCATGTCTCATAGTCATGCCTGAGGTGCTTGAGGTTTGGTAGCTATATTCAGCCTTCTAGGATGGTATCCTCTCTAAGGATTCTCATTCATTGGCTAACTATATATACATCCCATACAGGGATTAAGCTACTTTGTATCCTCTGAGTTCACCCGTGCCTGAAAAAAAGCTTTTCTTAAAGAAAAATGACAGGGCTGGCTCCCGGTTTCAGTGAGTTTGCCTTTTAGTGACCCCCCCCCTTCAATGCCAGTGTGCTGCAAATACACTTATAAAGTAGCAACAGGTGTCCTGATCAGTTTCAAGTGGGAGCTGCTATTTTAATTTCCCATAATGCTTCAGAGCCAGCTTTTTCTGGGGCATATGGAAAATATAGATGGTAGTTCACAGACGTGAGGCCAAGTTGCTCACTCTTGGTGACCTGAGCAGGCATTAGTTCCAGACGATCTTGCTGGAATACTGGGGACTTTGCAATTGTTTAGAGGACACTGATTTTTAATCGGTGGGTCTTACTTGTTCAGTTACGAAACTTCCAAGTCTTCAGTTCTTTGTGGAGTGTTAGCTTCACAGCAGTGTTTCAGTGATATTCTCTTGGGTTTTCTTTAATATAAGAAAGGCAGAACTGAACATTGTATTTATGTATGATTCATTTGGCTCTGTGTACACCATTAACTCCCTAATTTCTCTGTGCTCACCATTACAGGGTCCAGTAGAGTTTTTTTTTTTTTAAGACACACATACCAGCATCTAGAGGAGCAGACATGAGAGGTCACATACTAAAGACAGAAAAATTACACTTTACATTAACTCTGCCCCTCCAAAAGGAGTGGCATAGCCTCAATTATGACATCATGCTAAGTTTTAGAAGTACTCTAGAGTACTTTTGAGGCTCACTTTGACCAAAGAGGCAAGCTCATAGATTTGCAGGAACTTGTTCCTGTTTTCCTGAGTTGCAGGGGCCTTGGATGTCAGTATCATCCTCGCCATTCTTCCAGGTTGGATAAAAATGGAGGCATTTCCTCCAAGGCTCAGCACAAGGTTGAAAATATTCTTCTGCCCCTCTTCTAACTTCAGAAAAATATCCACCATGATGCCTGTATCAAGCTGGTAGCGGCATTTCAGGACTTTTGCCCATATTGATGCTTTTTCAATACACAGAGGTATCTTAACCAACAACCTCTGCCTGTGAAGTGGTGAAACATAATTTGGAGTGACTCATAGACTGCATGGGGGTGGTTAATCCTGAAATTTAGAGAAGTGACACACTCCCCCCACTCAGAGTATGAGCCTCTCATGCCGAGTGAAGACATGCAGTAGAGTAAATTATTATGTATATGGGCTCAAACATTTATTTATTTTATTTATTTATTTGACTTGTACGCTGCCCACACTCTGCAAGAGTCTCTGCAAGAAACATCACATCAAATATGTAGTATGGCAAAGTAAGGTCCAGCTCCTACTCAAGAACATTGTGGCAAGGCAGAGGCAACATAAAGCCAGTCTGCCGCATAAAAATTAGCCTTCTCCTTGCTGATGCTGCAATCAGTAAATAAGCCTAACCTGTAAGATTTTACAGAGATTAGACAGGACCACATGACAAATTCAGGCCTAATGATTTTGTTACCTTCTTATCCTTACTGATATTGATGTGTGTGTGTGTGTTTAGTCGTTTAGCTTGTGTTGGTCCTTACTGATATTGAGAATAAACTTAATTCACAAGAACCTAGAGTACAATATGCTGTGGGTGGTGAAGTTCTGATAAGCAAATGTCTCTAGAGCATCCATGGTGCAGAGGAGAAACAAGTGAAGTTTCTCCACATTCCTTAAAATTCTCCAGTCATTAGATGACATTCATGAACCGCTTATCAGAACCTGATGATATTGTCCTTACTGATATTGAGAATAAACTTAATTCACAAGAACCTAGAGTACAATATGCTGTGGGTGGTGAAGTTCTGATAAGCAAATGTCTCTAGAGCATCCATGGTGCAGAGGAGAAACAAGTGAAGTTTCTCCACATTCCTTAAAATTCTCCAGTCATTAGATGACATTCATGAACCGCTTATCAGAACCTGATGATATTCCGAGGATTTCCCTATTAGAAAACACAGTAGCAATAGGGCTTGTTTTCAAGTGTACAGGAATAGCAAAAAATGAAGAAGATCCATTGGGGTAAAGTGATGCCATGTTTCCATCTGGAAGGCTGTACAAGGGCTATATGGTTCACTCCTCCTACCCATTATACATAGTAGATATAGGGGGTGTTATTGGACTGCCTAGAAGATATTCTTGTACTGCAAATTCCAGAATCTCTAACCAGGATCATGTGGAGTTACAAGAGTTACAGTCTAACAACATCTGAATATCCAACACCATATTTCCCATCTCTGAAAAACAATTTTTGCAGGCATGGAGTTTCAGCATTCACAAAAAGAAACAAACACAAACAAGCAAACCCCCAAAATAACTGTTACCCATTTATTATGAGGTCATCTGCAGAGGGAAGCAAGACGTCTGTCTGTTAAGGCTAACAGGAATCCAGACGCTGCCAAAGCTATGAGCGTTTCTGCACACTTTCCAAGTTGAAAGATTGTTACAGAACAGCGCTACAGTGAGATGCATGTTCAATTAAAATATATGTCTCAAAATGTAACAAAACAGTGTGACATTCATAGTTTTGTGCTGTTGTGCCTCCAGAGCATTTTACAGGAACCTGTCAAATGTAATCAAGCTTGTTTATTCTGCATGTAAATGTAAGACCCGAGGCAATCTTCTTTAAAAAAAAATAATAAATAGAAAAAGCACATATTGTCCCTGGCAGTTACTTGGCAGGATATGGGTTTTTTTAAACACAACAAAAGGGTAAGCATAGTTAACCCTTCATTTCAATTATTATAGCATTTAGAACATGCAAGAACCATTTTGTTTGTTTGTCAGCCAGAGTGACAGCACAGCAACCAAACCCGGTTAAAATGACGTACAGTAATGAATCCAAAAAGCTAGCATGCCATATGAAAACAAGTGAAATCAGGTGACTGTAAACTGAATCATTGGTATCTCAGCGTAGGCAGACAACAAATTATGAAGATATGTCCGTTCTGCTTACAGACTGTAAATCTTGCTTAAGTTTGCTCCAGTAAAATTTCCAGTTGACAGCTTTGTTCTTAGGATAAATCCTTCCTGGCAGTTTACAATTGAATACCAACTACTGCAGCATCGTCTGTGCTTTCACATTTGTGTTGATAGGGAATGATGGGTCTCTCAGTAGGGTTCAGCTGCCCCCTCCTTACACATCTAATTTTAAACACAGCATTTGTCTGCCCTGAATTTCTGTCTGACTCAGTACATGCTGGGATTTCATGTCTTCTTGGCCATCCTCTGCAGAACTAGACAGAAACTATTACTAACAATCCTCAGGATATGCAGGAGCTCAGTGAAATAACTGGGGGGGGTCTAGTTTCCATAAAAATATTACTAGATGAAGTATTTCCCAACAAGAGTCTGTGATTCTTTGTTCTTCTATAGTGTTTTTATTAAACAGTGGTATAGATTTTACAACCCCTGAATGAAGCAACATGCATGAAAAGAACACAGTTGTGGCTACTGTAACAGCACTCTTCTTTATCTTCCTTTGAAGAATGTACTTGCCTTGTGCAATGAAATATATACTATACACAGGTCCAAGAAAAAAAATGTTTTCTAAAATAAAAGACTGCTTCTGTGAGCCCAAAACTGGTTAACTGCTTTGATTTAACTCAATTTAGTACCATGGACAACTTCATGGAACAAATACACTCTAGTTTAACTGTTTTGTCAGTTAAGAAGCAAATTCTATTTAGAGATGTTCAAGAGTACAGCAGGCCAAAATGGGCACAGGTGTTTCAATCCTTATCCCTTTAGATTAGGAACCAAATCTTCTGGGAATTGTGCATGTGATTTGCCCAGAAAGAAAGATTTCTAAACAGAAGAGCTCAAAAGAATTATAATACTAATTGGATCTGAACTACGGCCACTAAGATCAGTATACCACGCATACACATAAAATGTGTCATTCCTTAAAATGGATCTTCCCACTCCAAAAGCTGACATTTCTGGGGTAACCAAGACAACAGCAGCTGCAGCACACTCATTCAGAAATAAAACACTGGAAGCTACTTACATTGCCTAGCATCTTAAACAGGTCTCTGTCTTTTATTTTCTTTTAAACCCTTTATTCACAGGCTTAACAGAAGAAAATGAGTTGAGAGATAAACTCATCGATCACCCTGATAATCATCATATTTTCCAAGGAGTAAAATTCAAAAATTTCAGTTATACTTACCTCCAAGCAGATATGCAATACAACTGTAACTCATGTTCTATTTAATCAGAGAAATCAGAGAAAATGTATACTTGTCTTGGTGATGGGGTGTATGCCTGTTATTTTAGGACACGATGCTGTAGCCTACATGGTACAAAGGGATTCTTAGTCTGGTGCTTAAAAATCAGCGAAAGAGCAATCTTTCCTCCCTGGAGGTGGAGTTGGGGGTTCATTCCAGGTGGCTTCAGCTATTTTCAGAACATAATGTGAGGGGGATAGGTGGGGGAAGGCCTTAAGGCAGGCGCCCAGGGTGTATATGTATGACTGAGGGAGAATAACCCGAAGACTCCAAACTTTAATGGGCAGAGGGGGAGCGTCATCTTGGGTCTCACACCTCTAAACTAAACAAGACACATGGCTGCCTGTGGCTTTCCTTACCTTTGAGATGCTGATGATGGGCCCTGTGGAACCGGCTCGCGTTGCCTCTGGGCAGCGCCGGGATGCTGGAGAAGCTGTTCCCCATGGCATCCAAAGGCAGCCGACCGCTCGATGGGCAGGAGTGGTAACAGCTGGAGGGCTCTCTGGCTTGGTGCCGCCGGCCAAGGCGGGGTGGGGAAGGGAAAGGAAGGGAAGGGGAAGGGAAGGGAGGGAAGCACGACGGGGGTGGGTGGTGAGTAGGTTGGGTCCTCCCTTCCCTCGCCTGGACCTTCCTCCTCTTCCCTCTGGCTCTCACCGGGGTGCCAGCCTTCCCCTTTGTCTCCTCGTCCTCAGAGATGGTGCCTGTCCTTGGCGGGCTTGCTCCACATCGCCCTGCTGGGGCTGCGCGAGGGACCGGGAGCAGCTGCTGCGCGGACGGAGCGCGGGGAAGTCTTGCTTTTCTCCCTGCGGGAGTTCAGGGAGAAAAATCCCTGGGGCAAATCCGTTCCCTGCCCACCTTCCTCTTCGGGATTCCGCCTCGGCTCTTTGTCTCCCGTCCTTCCTCGCCCTCCTCGCCTGCTCCTCCTGCCTGGCTCACCTCCGAGACTTCACCTCGCCCAGAGGATGGAGCTCCCCGGGATGCGGCGCCGACTCTGGCCCCCGCCTTCCCTCTCCCCACAGCGGCTGCAACATGGTCCCTCCGGAGCCTCGGAGAAAACCGCCGCCGCCGAGGCCGCCCCTGAGGACCCAGCCCACCTCCGCCGTTTCTTCCCTCTCGGGTGGGGGTCTCCTCGTTTTCGGCGCAGGTTGTTATGGTGACAGCTGCCTCCTCAGACTACTCCCTTAAGGGACCCGGGGGGGGGTCACGTGGCAGCCAGATGTGCCACCTTTGGAGCAGGAGGAGGGGCAAATCGGCGTTTCGGTCGCGACCCTCCCGCTCCCGGCTGCCCCCCCTCACTCCACCCGGGTGACGTCCCGGCTCCGAGAGCTCCGGGCCCAACAACAGGTAGCGTCCCGGGGAGCAGCCGGGGCTCTGGCGGGGTCTCCGGGCTCCCGATGGGGCGGCGTGGGCGCCGCTGCAGGGGAGGCCCCGCGTCCTCCCGAGCGCCTTGGAGCAAAGAGTGCGCGCGCGGGCGCGCCCCGCAGTCTCAGGCAGAGGAGCAGGGAGGAGGGTGCGCGGTGCGCACAGCGGAGAGGCTTCGGGCGCACAAGGAGTGCGGAGGGGCTGCGGGGCTCGGTCGTTCCGAGTGCGACTGGACGAGCGCATTTCTATAGGAGGTGAAACGGGGAGTGGGGGGGGAGGGTCTCAAAGGAAGAAGGAGGGCGTGTGCGCGAAAGGTTAAGGCCCCGACATTTACCCCGACCTGAGGTAAAAGCAGCAACTAGCACCCTCCACCTGGTAAGGTGTATGGTACCAAAGCCAGCTAGAGCCCCCTTTTCGTTGCTGGCAGTAACTAGCAATGTGCTGCTCTTTCATGACATGCCAAATCCGCTGCCTGGCAGAAGCATGTCATGCTGCCTAATGGCAGGGCCAGCCCTGCTCCTGTGGTACCAAAGCCAGCTAGAGACCCCCTTTTCGTTGCTGGCAGTAACTAACAATGTGCTGCTCTTTCATGACGCGCCAAATCGGCTGCCTGGCAGAAGCATGTCACACTGCCTAATGGCAGGGCCAGCCCTGCTCCTGTGCATATACTTACAAAATCCCGTGTTGCCTACATTATAGGAGCAAGATTGCAAAGTATTTGGATGCATGTGCCCAGCAGGAGACCCAAGAACTAGTGGGCATTGCCCTAAAATATCGGCTGTCCAGTTTGAACCCCCAGTTCTCAGTCACAGTAGGTTAAGGTTCTATATGTTATTGCTTTCCTAACAACAGTTGTGGCTCCCCCAAACTATTTTTTTACTGCTGTCAACCATTCCCAGAAGGCAAGAAATAATGTACGTATACTATGTATGTGAGAGCAGCCAATGGTGTACATATGCATACTTGTACTAGAAAGGACAAGAAAGTAGTGAGAGGGTGGTGTGTTCAAGGGATGAGCACTGTTGACTAGTTCCCACCTAAAATTTATGTAAGGGCTGACAGTTTGAAGATTTCTTCTCTGTGACTGTACAACAGAGGAAAGCAAGAGTATAAGTGCCTAGGCATCTGTGTGCCTAGGCATCATATGTTTGAATAAGTGCCAGCACAATGAATAAATGCTCAGTCCTTTACAAATTATTTCCACAAATAGCCATTTGAAGCTACAGGGACATTCCCACTTATGTGAAGAAAATCTGGACTGTAACCTAAATACATCAAAGCACCAACACTTTTTGCATGGGTGTAATTTCATTTTCTTATATAGGTTATATGAGAATTGGAAAAGTATATAGAATTGTTCCTGGGAGGTAAATGTCAAGAGCAGCCTTCTTTATCCATTTCAATGGACATTACAAAATTGTCAACATCACACAACAGCCAGTTAACCACTCACATGTAAATAACAAAAGTTGCAGCTATGTGTATGTAGTTGTACATCTTCTTATTGGAATATATCATTTTAGAAATTTTGGACTAGTAACTCTCATTGACTAGAACCCTGTTTGTTTCTCTCATACACAAAGGTCTGTTGCACATACAGTTGTCCTATTTCTGGCAGTTATAGAAAGAGGTATTCAGTAACCCTTTGTGCACAAGAAACTCCCACTGCTTTCTACAGGGCGATCTCTGCTTTGCACAGCTGCAAGCTAGAGCTGGGCAGATCATGTCACGTTCTGTCTTTCCCTAATAGAAGGCATTTAAACTGTGGGCCCTTAGAAAGCAGAAGGTACAATGTGGCAGTTTAGTCAAAACTGCCTGACCTGTCAAGCATTGCCTATGGAACCCAGGCCACCATCTGTGACAAGCAGAGAGCAGGTGTGTTTGCTGCACATGCAGATGATTCCAGATGACACAGGCTTGTTTGTGCCAGAGGAAAGCCCCTAGGACCTCTGGAAATCAAGAGTATATCTGTTATATTACGAGCACCATGACCACACAAAGTATAAACCTATTGCCTTCAGCTAGGAAAAGGAACCTGTGACTATCCAGATGTTAGTTTCCAACTCCCATAAACCCCTACATAGCATCACCAAATGTCAAGAGGAAGGGATTTGTACTACATTTGTAGTTTAGTAGTCTAACAATATCAGAGGCTGCAGATTCTCCAACCCTGTTTATACACATATTTCTCTGTGCACAATTGGAGGGAGAAAACATTTGCCACAGTCTTCAAAAAGAGTGAACCCCAAATGTATCTATTTGGAATACTGTAATGCAGTAAGTGTTCAGGGGCAGCAGCAGGGAAACCTCACTACAAAAGCCAGGGGCTTCTTTGCTGTGGCCCCACCTTTCACCTGAAGTGGTTGGACTTGAGAACTTCAAGCTCTGGAAGAATAAGAAGAATAAGGAGGATTCAATAAAAGGGTATTGCTTGTTGTGCTTGGTATCATGGATCAAAGAGCTGTTTCCTATTCTTCACAAACAGATCACCACATTCTTTCTTTCTTTCTTTCTTTCTTTCTTTCTTTCTTTCTTTCTTTCTTTCTTTCTTTCTTTCTTTCTTTCTTTCTTTCGTTCGTTCGTTCGTTCGTTCGTTCGTTCTTTCTTTCTTTCGTTCTTTCTTTCTTTCTTTCTTTCTTTCTTTCTTTCTTTCTTTCTTTCTTTCTTTCCCTTCTCCTTCCATTCTCCCCCCCCCCCATTTGGGACCCAAGGTTTTAAGAAGTAACAAATTAAAATACAATAACATTACAATAGAATTAAATTCATTATATTATTTAAATGCAATTACATTAAAACAGTTTAAAATTTCTTCATTAAAATAATACTGCATGTTTACCTTTAATAAGATAAAACTGGACATCTACTGAAATCTTATAATTTAAGCCTCTTAATTGCCAAAGGCTTGCCTGAAGAGAAGTGTCTGTCTGCCAGCAGAAGGACAAAAGAGGTGGGGGTGGCAGAAATCTAGCTTCTCTTGGCAAAGAGTTCCAGAGTACATTGATAAATGGAGGAGCATCAGTCCTTGGAAAAGTGGTGCTCCATATTCAGGATAAGGCAGGGTGTACCCTGACTCAGCTCCCAAATGATGCAGTATAATGTGAGAGAGCTCCTCTGGGATTCAGCACTTGATGAGTCAAGATGGCTTGGAAGGGCTTGGAAAACACCTTGCTCAAGGACCCCAAGACTCCTTGCCCATCCAAGTGAAATAAATAATGTTTCCGGCTTATAAGACAGAAGCATATTCCACAGGTCCAGATGGACGTGAGTCAGGACATTGATTTGTTAAAGGCCCATTTTGGATATCCACAGGCCTTAAGGGCTATCTTCAGATGTTCCTCCACAGCAGGGGTGAGCAATTAATTTCTATAGGGGGCCACATAAAAAATATGAACTGTGTTCAGGGGCCGAACCAACTTTACTTAAAAATAAAATGAAACAGCGATGTTATGATTGTTTTTATTTGAAATTTGTTAATCTTCACAAATACTGAAGAGGTTTTTTGCAGTATGTTAAAGATAAGCAATTGATCAACTTTAGACAAAAAGCTATAGTTCTGATGTTCAACTTGTTCAGTGAGAGAAATCCAGTCTGCCTTGGGCTTGAAGAAGTGCTTGAACACCGGACTGGAGCGACGACCGGCAGGCCAGACAGGAGTGGCTCGCAGGCTGTATGTGGCCCTCAGGCTGCACTTTGCCCAGGTCTGCTCCACAGAAACCAAGAAAAAGGAAGATGGACATCTGAAGACAGCCCTTAAGACCTGTGGATATCCAAAATGGGCCTGTAACAAGGCAATGTCCTGACCCAGCAGGGCAATGGAGCAGTTTGAGACCCAGAGCCAATGGAAGAACCTGGTCATTCCCTACATGGCGGTTATGTCTGAAAAGCTCAAAAGGTTTTTTGGTAAACACCACACACCCGTGCACTTCAAACCCACAAACACATTAAGGCAGAGACTCATCCACCCAAAAGACTGGACACCAAAACACAACAGGAGCAATATAGTATATGCAGTCTGATGCAAACAGGAGTATTTGGAGCTCTACACTGGAGAAACCAAACAGCCACTCAAAAAGGAGAATGGCCCAGCACAGGAGGGGCAAAGCCACTCAAAAAGAAGAATGGCCCAGCACAGGAGGGGCAATGCCTCAGGACCACAATCAGCAGTGTTCCTTCTCTTGAAGGACAAAGGGCACTCATTTGATAACCAAGATGTACTAACTTTGGACCAAGAGGACAGGTGGTTGGAGAGAGAGGTCAGAGAGGCCATACATGTGCATACAGAAAATCCCTCCCTCAGTAGGGGTGGAGGCCTTAGACACAATCTGTCTCCTTTTAATCATGGTGCCCTTTCATCCATCTCCAGAAAGATCAGGACCACACTCACCAGAAAGTCCACTGTTAACAACCCATTACAATGTGTGGAGAAAGACTGCAGAGGTGGGATTTTCACTCCCCCCCTCCTTTGTCCATCTAAGGAGCCTAATCAGACCAGGGGGGAGTGAAACCAAGGTGGAGGATATATCAGGGGTCTCCTACTAGCTCGTCTGACTGAAGAGGCTGCTTGGATGAGTAGTGAAACATTTCAACCTAATAAGAAAGAAGTCCAGTTGCCATGACTCAACTTCCAGATCATTATATATGCTACATGAGATGTTTGCTTCATATAAATTCAAAGTCTATTTTCAATCTAAAAATATGCCAGAATGCCTCCCAAACATAATTTAATACCTTTACTTGGTTTTTTTAAAAAAAAGAATCCAAAAATTTCTCTTTGGAGAGGAGTATGTGCCTTCAGAGGAGAAAATCCTTTTTCTGTTTCTGTTTTCCTCTTTAACTGGGCCTCACAGCTTCATATTACTAAGTATGACAGACCTTTTGAACCTGGGACAAAATAAATGCATTATTTGTCTCTTTAATACCATAAAGCAAGATACACTGAAAAGGTTTAGTTCAGGCTTTCCAAAGACACAAATACAGAGAAAAGCTTTGTTTGGGGGATGTAGGGTAGGCATGAAAAGTAGCATCTAAAATGAGGCTGTGTCAGACAGTTATCAGTATGTAAGAAAAGGAGTCTGTGTTTAAAGAATAGTGCTCTCCCCAGCTCCTGATGTATAAAATAATATCGGTAGCCTTACTTTTGTGTATGTGTGATAG